AGCTGTTTAGTATTTAGTATATTCTAAGTTATGGACTTGTCATTCATATCTTACTTCTACCAACTAGGTTATTAGCTCTTTGAGAACAAAGACTTTGTCTCACCAGAGCCAGCACACAAAACCCTACCAGAGTAACACATAGGTTTGTTTGTTTTAAGGATTTGAGATTTCCTTTATTTAAAAATTTATCTATTGGTTTTTAAAAATAATTACAAGTAATATATGGGGAGACCAAAGTAGGTTTACAGTTGTTCATATGGAAAACAATACAATAATTCATAAGTAATGATACAAGAATAAACTGTTTTGTGTACTCATAATGGTAAACCTAGTTTTGCCCCACTCTGTATTTTGCCTAGTTTTGTATATATGTTGGAAATTTTTTTGTAACAAATGGAAAGCAAGGTAGATTGTAAAATAAAAAGCAATATGGGATAAAGTAGAAAAGACAAATTCCCTGCTGTACCCTAGGGGAAGCATAATTGTGCTTTAATTCATACTGTTAAAATTGCCTTTTTAAGTGTCTGTGCAGTTTTTCCACTTTTGAAAGCAATATTGGCTTTCAAATCCTCACCAGTGTTTGATAATGTCAGGCTTTTTACTTTTTACTAACCTGAGTATTAAAATGTTGGGAGCCGACCAACAGCTGACCTTTGACTCAGTTGGGTCAGGTGAGAAGCGTCTGCACAGCAGAAGCGGCTGTGGCCGGGTCTTCTATCTATCTCTTCCCATATGCCTGTCCCTATTAGCATCAGGTGGTGGGATTTTTGAACGCCTGTGCTTTATAGCAAGGGACTTGGCACAATGCCTCTGGTTCTGCATGAAGTGACTTGCTGACCACTAACTGGGGGCCCCTGGTAGCCCTGGTGCTGCCCACTCCCCCCACCTGGAAAGTTAAGGATAGATTTAAACTATGGGCAGACTAGCTGCCAGAATGCTGGAGGAGGCCATTGGTAGGAATGTTTAAGGAATTACCATTCAAAAGCTCAAGATTTATTAGAACCACTGCCTTTCCCAAGCCCTGGGCAGGAGCGGTTATTGATGGGACCAGGTAGATAGAGAAGGAAGGAGTTTTAATTTAAATATAATAATCTCAGTACATGGAAATATAATATGGCCCCCCCCAGATATGTAGTTAATAGATCTAGGCAAAAAATCATTTATCTAATTTAGGTAATCTAATTTCTATAAACAATAATTTTTAAATCACTCCTTGTACCCCTTTGATTTAGATCAATCTATAGAAATTTAGTAGATATTTAATTATAATCAGCATTTAAAAGTTTGTGCTCATATAGCTTCGTTGGCTATCTGACTAATGACCCTCTTGGTCAAAATAACCTTTGTTTAATATGGTTGATCTGTGAGACTTCCTGTATTTTTCGGTTATTTCTTTGTTTAACATGATTGATTTGTAAAACCTTCTGTGTTTTTAGAAATTATTTCTGTGGTAATTGTTTTTTTAATAATCACATTGCGTATTGAATGTTGTTATAACCTCCCCTATAAAAATAAAGACTGATTTTTCTCAGTGAGTCAGTCAGGTCTAGAGAGCCTGGCTTTCCTCTGGCATCATATCTGGTGTCTTGTCTCGTTTTGCATGGTCCACGTTCCTCTTTTGGGGACCCTGAGACCTGCCAAGGCTGGACCCTGGCATTAAAAAATGTATCTAGATTTACATTTCCCTGATAATTGAATATTATTTCATATTTTTATTGGTACTTACATTTCTCTTCTCTGTTCACATCCTTTGTCATTTTTCTACTGAATTGTCTTTTTACTGATTGCAGGAACGCTTTATATATTCTAGATACTAATCCTTTGTTAATATTGTAATATTATTGTAATCCTTTGTTAATACTGTAAATATTTTGTCCCAATCTCCTTTATTGATCTACCTTTGTTTCAGTTGACATTCAGCAATAATGCATAGTGACCCTTCTTCTATTTCAGGATAGAGAGCATCTTTGCCCATGGTGCGTCCCATGTATAGCCCAAGATGGTGTTCTGAAATGCCCTTTCAGAACTTTTTGGCATGGTCTACCAGCACACCAGGAAAAACAGTCATCACCATTTACTGTCTTGGTCCAATAGACTCTTTTTGTTTTTTAGCTATTTTACAAATAACATTGAAAAATAAGAATAAAAGGATAGTAAAACAAGAACTTCATTTGAAACTTTAATAATAATTTAAATGTAGCAACCCCAAATCTTTATTCCATATTCTCCTGATTTTGAGTGTGTATGTGTGTGAACACAACTAACTGCTCATCTGCTGTCATACGCAAACTTGGAATATATCCATCTTGAAAATACTGGCTCTGGGCTTCAGGTATATCTCTAATGGATTCTAACTTATTACTCTGGTTGTTCTTGCACTTGTATCATCAAAATGCAAACTTTGAAGAATTTTTTGAAATCTTTAATGACTCAATTTTGTCAGAGAGAGGAAAGATATCTTTTTTGCTCTATAATTCAAACATTTTCATTTTTGGATTTATAAACACCAATTAAAATGTCAGTTCATTGAATTGTTTTGTTTCTTTATCATCTATATTTTTTCTGTTGCCTTTGTTTATGAACCTGCCTTCAGCATTTGTCCATTTATGAACTTTATTAAATAAAATTTGGCACACAGATCTCATAAAAGATGTAAGAATATGGTCATATGCCCTGTTAGCACACAGGATGGTCCAGGTTCTTGTTGCAAAATAGGGCATGAGAAAGTCTTTCCGCATGAATGACTAAGTGAACGACAGCACCTGATTTTCTTTGTGTTCCTAGAAACCTATGGTTTACTCATTAATTCTTGAGTTTGAGGAAATTCATTTAGTATTTTGTCATTTGAAGATGCAGAAAGTTTGCCACATCATCAGTCTTACCACCATCAGAGTCATGATTGCTGCTGTTTGTCTCGTTGCACTCGTCTGCGGCTTTGTCTCATGGCCCAGTGTTTCCATCAGTTTTCTTCTCGTTGCCACTAGTGACTGAAAGTTTTTAAGTTCTGAATTCTCAGCTGTGTTCAGTAGAAGCTGAAAGCAGACTGCAAAAATAATGTCTTCAGTCTTTTATACCTTATTTAAAGATGATGCAGTACTTTGGGCAATGCAGTAAGAAAATTGAAGGACAATGTAGTAGTGATTTATTTCATCTCATACCATCCTTTTTGATAATTTCATATTCCTTTTTCTTATTATTTTAGTCATTTTTTTAAAAAAGGCCTAGTTGTAAGTAATCCAAGATACAGACAAAAATAATACTACTAGGATCCTGTAGTATAGCTTAAATTTATAAAAGGTTACAGTGGATCCACATGATAATTACAAGATAAAATGAACTTTATTCTTTTTTTTAATAAATACAATCTCTTTGTTCTTTGGAAGATTCTAAGAAGGTTAACATTATGAAATAATAACCATCCCAAATAGGAATTTGTTCCAAAAAGAAAGTCAAAAACTAAAATTGGGCTCAGTGGCCCTAATGTTATACAAAGGACTGAGTTGGCTGGCAATACATGCTGATTCTGTTAATGAAGCTTTTATTGTGGAATCAACTGGAATGGAAGCGACACTTAATTAGTTTTAGCCTTTCTTTACTACGCTTAAGTGTGCAGGAGTTTACTCTGGCTTACAGCCTTTTGTTCTGACCTTCCCCTATCTGTACAGCATGGACAGAAAGAATAAATTCACTTCTCTCTCGCTCAGGTTGGTGCTTCCTCTACCTGTTCCTTTTGTTTGCAGGAGCCTTGCTGATTAATCTCATGTCTCTCTTCTAAACCTCTTTTCTCTGTCCAAGCTCTTGAGCTGGGAGATGTTGAGGTAAGGTGCCTCTCTGTTGAGCAGGGAGCACTGCCAGTGTTCCAGCTGGGAAGACTCTATTAGGGGTGTATATGCCAAGCACGGTATCATTGTGTGCAGGCATCTCAGGCGTCTGCCAACCCCAGGGGCAGGCTGCCAGTATGAGTGCCACGCTGACATGACATTTACAAGTTTAGAGTCTGGAAAAGGACTGGCAATGGAACACCAGTCATGGTATAGGGTGGCAGTCACTGGGCCAACTTTAACTCAGAAATCACAGTCAAGAAGTAATACTTGATACAGGGTTTGAAGCTATCACTCCCACTTTTTCTACAAAGTGATGAATTGTGTTAGCCTGTTCCTAGGCTATAGGATAAACCATAGTGGTTGGTGCAGAATCTGGAATCAAATCTAGATGTGAATGAGGGCTCTGTCGCTTACTGTGTGACCCTGGCGCAGTTATGTAAATGTCAGTTCCCAGCTATAAAGTAGGGATAATAATATCATTTTCTTCCTAGGGTTATTGGATGGATTAAATAACAACTTTTAAAGTACAAGCACTTTTCCCAGTGTTTGTCTAATGTTAAGTGTTCAATAAATGTGAAGTATTTTTCACGTTCTTCAGAAACTCATAAGGAATTCAGGTTTCCATCTGTCCCTGTATTTTAGTAACAAATATATACATATTATAACTTGCCAGGGACATGTCATGACATGAGCGTGTGTGTGAGACTCTCTCTTTGATTTAAGAATTGCGGGTACACTTTGCACAAGAAGCCTAGGACATACTTTTCTTTATCTCTCTAGGAAAATTTACTGCTAGAATCAGGGTCATTTCAGCATCTCTACAGTTTCTTTGTTGCAGAAACCATTGGGTATTAAGAATTTATTTCAGTAATAGCATTCTTTGGGCCTGGAACTTCCCTATGGTATATTCTAATACAAAGTGAAGACCTAGAGCTGTTTGGAAGGTTATGCTGTGGCTTGATAGGGAGACTGTGTTTTTGTGTGGGTAACAAGGTACTTGGTTTTAAGTCTTTTATCATGATCTAGTAGCCAAAAAGCAGAATTTGTGTGTGTGTTGCTTATATAAAATATAATCCTTTCTGTAGTACTTAGTTTATTTCCTTGAATCATTTTCAATACCATTAATAAGTTCTATCAAATGATAAAATTCTGACTTTCTCCCCCCTTGTTTTTCAGATCTTCAAAGCTACTACGGGCATTTTATGTCCCCTTCCTGTCAGAACAGTATACAGTGTATGCAAACTACACCATCCTCAAACCCCGGAAAACAAAGCACAGCAGGAAGAAAAGTGGAGGTTAGCAGCACACCTCTGACCCCAAAGGACAACCATCTGTTCTAATGATTACACTGACAGGACTCCCTCCAAGTCATCGCTTGTAACATTTGTAATAAAGGCCATCTGACACCGAATCTGGAATCTGGGTGCTTTGGGCTAGTCAAAGTCAATCAAATTCACTTCTTGCCTGTGTCTCTGTTCTGCAAACTTTTTGCAGCTAGGCAGAGAAAGGTCCTAAAGTCCAGGTAGATGTAGTGTTCCACATCTCATTGTTTTTCTTCTGTTCAATTATTTATTAGACCGGAAAAGAACAGAATCAACTCATAGGAAGAACTGAACATCTCTGAGCTGGATGGCTGTATCAGGCTGTTCCCCACACTCTGGCATCTGAGAACTAACAAGCTTCTCTTGGGCCATATGGGCTTCTCCACCAAAGCTGTTTGGCAACTTCGAGCAGACCTTGTTGTTCAAGTCCTAGTGCTGAAAATAAGCACAGCACAGTTGTCTGCCGACATGTCCTTTTCATCTCGAGCAAGACTAAGCTTCTCTGAAGTGCTTCACGGGACTAGGACCCTGTCCTGGAGATATCTCAGGAAAAAGGCAACTATTTGAGGAACTGTGACCTCATTTCATTATTTAGGATGCCTCTTATTTTCATTTTACCTCCTTTACAACAAATTGCAACTATGAGGGTTGTTTTGTTTTTTTAAGTTTTAGCATATAATTTCTTGAATTCAGGACTTTCTTCTGTACAGGTTCTAGACAAGACTATAACTGTACAGGACATAGTTGGAGAAAATTAATTCTATCAACTAGTAGATTTGGATAACATCACATTTTTAAGTAATGCATTCTGTTGCCATTTCTGAAGAGATTGAGAACTTCTCTTTTTTAAACAACCCTAGTCAAAAAGACCAGTGTAGATTTATAGCACCTATTTTTGAGTCTGTATATGGCAAAGCACATCTTGCACGGGGCACTTCTTGTCTGGTAGGCAATTGTAAGGACCTAATATTTTAATAAGTATATACTATTACTTTACCCTTAATACATTATTTCATAGTTTATAAAACACTTTTGCATGAATCTCATTTGATGTTCTCCCACAACATGAGGTAGACAAGGCAAGTGGTTTTATACCCATTTTACAGATTAAGAAACTGAGGCTACAAGGGGAGATAAAAGCATACAAAGTCACACAGCCAATGACAGTGCTAGGACTGGAACCTAGGTTGCCTAACTTCCTTTCTAAACATTACTTGAAAGAATGGTGAGGTTGCCTGGAGACCTGATTAATAATGTAACCTTATATTTTAACAAAGAATTTTACCTGTATTTCTTTTGAGTTCTTTGGAGCCTCCAGTCTTTCTGTCGGTTAGACTGTCATCACAGCAGAGCTTCAGAGTGCAGCCTGGCTGGTGGCAGGAAAGCAGTGCTCACGTTGGGAGTCACTCTCCTTTGTAGCCACACAGGATCCAGTATTCCGTCCGTAGTCCATCTGGGGTCACATAATAGGTGCCTTATTTCCCTAAGAGTAAATATGTCTAGTATCTGCAAAGAGGTTGAATCTATTTTTCGGAGTTTCCATCTTTGGTTTTTCAGAGAAGGGCTTTTGATAAGAACTGCCTGAGAGGAGAAAAGAAGTGAAAAGGAAAGAAATGACTAGTCAGCATATAAAAAGCCTCCCATCTGAGGGAAGATCTGAGATCCAGTAGAAGCACTGGTGTGGAATGATAACAGCAGAGTGAAGAGAAACTGGTGTCCCACTTGCTGACTGAAAGTTCCTGGCATTTAATTCTCAATACTTGATTAATTTTTTCCTAAATTTTGGCACATTTGATCTGACTAAAGAATAGAGAGTTTTCAGTGAAATGCCTTGCCACACCTACATGGATTGTGCACTTATGTGTGTGCTTGTTTCACAGTGGCTAATGCCCTGGACTTTCTGTAGAGGTGAATAAGAGTGTTCAGCAACAGAGGTCCATGCTGAGTAGCTTTATGTAAATCAAAGTGGTACAGTGCTGATATATTTTATTATCTTGCCCATGAAGCAAAAGCCTTCTGAGTAAGAACTTACTGTAATGTAGCACAGAAGAAGGTCATGATTGGTCCAGAAATTCCTTGGGAATATCAGTTCCTACCCCTTTTAAAACCTGATTTTGGTTTTCTTTAGGGAGAGCACAATAAAGTGCAGACACTATGCCAATGCTACAGGTCAGGGGTAGAAAATGGTTTTTGTTATGGAGGCATTTTTCACACAACACATTTATGAACACATTAAAAAATCTCCATCTAAGCCCTGGCTCGTGTGGCTCAGTGGATTGAGCATGGGCCTACGAACCAAAGGGTTGCAGGTTTGATTCCCAGTCTGGGCACATGTCTGGGTTGTGGACCAGATCCCCAGGAGTGGGCATGTGAGACACAACCACACATTGATGTTTCTGTCCCTCTCTGTCTTCCTCCTTTCCTCTCTCTAAAAAATAAATAAATAAAATACATTTTTAAAAAATCTCCATCTCAGCAATACAGTGAGGTTAGCTTTGCCTGTGAAAAAAGATTTTCAAAACACCTGGTCAAAGTAACATTTTTCCTTTAGAGAATCGTGGTTCCTCATGAACTGACTGCTCTGCCCATTGTAAGGATAAAGTGTCTGAGGTACTTAGTTCTCCATAGATTATTGAATATCAAGGGATGAAGGACTATAGATTAGTTGTTCTAACCTTTGATTATGTTAAGAGCAGGTGTACTTGGCAATCCAGGACTCTGATCTCTGATTTCTCAAGCAGCCATATCTGAACACTGCATCTTATGACAGAGTCCCATTACTGACCCAAACTGTGTAATAGGCATCTAGTATCAGTTTGCCTGTCACCTGGTAGTTGTCATCTGAAAAGAAAGAAGACTGGCTACTTTAATCTCTTGGGATAGTCACGGAAAATTGAAGCCCATACTCGTTATTACTAAATTCAAGTTTAGGAACAGGTTGTTTTAAATCAAGGGTGGTTCCTGATCCCAACCATTGATCTGGGTCATTTTCCTAGTTTTGAATTCAGGGAAAGGCTCATGAAAACCCCATGTGGTTCTGCAGCATTAGGTCTGGAGTGACTGGGCAAAGCATCAGTGGCAATCCATTACGTTTTGCATTTCAAGGGATTTATTCAGATAAGAACTCACTGTGATTGTGTTGTCTTCAGGCCAGTGTGAGGCAGCTCTGCTTTTAATTTGGTTAATTTTATTTCCTCTGTAGAGGGAAAAGAGGCACAATTTAATCTTTGCCTCCACAGGCATATTAAAACTCATGTGTTAATTCATTCTTATGCGCCTACATTAAGTTGAATGCCTTGGTAAATCGATAAATGGACATGTGCTCAGCTTTAATATTTTTTGCAAGAGAAGGATCAGACTTCCTTATGGCATTGGTGGATTTCAGAGGCTCTCTGGTGTTTCAATAAATCTAAATGAATGTTGCCTTCAATTTTTCCAGTGTGCATAACCACGTGTTTCATGCTGCAAATGAAATCAGGAAGCAGTACAGTGCTGAAACAAGAGTATTGTCCAATATATTTGTCTAATCTTTGTGCTTTATTTCACGTGTCAGTGTTTACATTACATACCTGTATTTTCTGTGAAAGAAAAAAGTTAAATAAATCTTGGCAGTTTGATTTTCCTTAAGTTAATATTTTCTCTCTTGCTTTTTTGAGCTTTTAAATCTTTGGTGGAGATTGGAAACTGAAACTCAAGCCCTTCATCTACTTCACTCCCACCCTTCAATGTATAGACCTTCCTTCCACAGTCCAAACAGCTGAAAATAACTTATTCTGAAAGTTCTAGGAAGAAGCCTTTGGGAAACCCATTGAGGGTTAGTTTTATTTTATTTGTAGAAAAACCATGCACAGTAGGAATTACTCAGGATGTCATTGTAACTAAAAAAAGAGTTTTGGAGTTCATCTTATGTTTTCAGATTAAGAATTTTCATCATGTGGGGATCTTAATATTCATAGAAATATGCTAGTAATATTTAAAATTGCAGTGATTTCCCCCTTTGTCAGGAGTTGTTAAGAGCAAAACAACTTTTTTATTAATGAATTCCTAGTATCATTCTTATACCTTGCATCTTGTAGCCACCTGGTTTTACATTATTGGTTGTCACTTTTCTTTCCATAGGACACAAAATGCCCATAAAACTTAGTTTGATTTCTTTCTCCCAAGTTGTTTTACAGATGGATACTTTATTAATATAATTGTTTCCCCCTATTTAGAAGGGTCACCTTTCTCTACCTTCGTTACTTTTATTTATAGGGCCAGCTCAAGCCTCCCTCTGTTCTAAGAAGCCTTTCTGGACTTCAGACCTCTTTAATTACTTCCTTTCCTTAACCCTTTTGAGCACCTTACTAATGACATAGAATCTTAACACATATCCCTTATAAACCTGCCTTTCCAGGGCATTGCTGGCATGTCTGGGGGCAAACCATTTAGTTGGGTCATTTTCCTAGTTTTGAATTATGGGAAAGGCATTTACGCATTTCCATGAGCATGCTGGTACTGCACATGTGTTGGGAACCTCCCTGCCTAGTTTCAGGAGCTGTAACACGCCCCCCCCTCCCCCCGCCCCCGCCCGGCTAAGGCTAAGAAAGCGACATTCCGACCGACAGTAAGCCACTAAGGAGACAAAGCTTATCTCCCTGGCAGGAGCACCACTTCTGTTCTTTTTTCTTCACCCTGCCTGGCCCCCAATGCTTGATCAGTTAACCAATTATGGGTAAGATCCCCCAAGGGGGGAATGACCTAAGACAGGTCACGCATAGGCCCCAGGGAAGAACCTGGGGGCTGTGGAGAAAGGGGCTGATGGACCCTGGCCCCTCGGCTTTGACAAAGCCTGAGTCCTCATTCTGTCTGCGAGAAGTCTCCTCATCTCTTGGCTGCCTCACTTCCCCTGCCTGACTTAAGCCTGAAACAATGACAGGGTGGTGCAGCCATATGCTGGAAGGGGTGGGTTCCGGGGGGGGGGGGGGGCGGGATCAGGCCTAAGAAAGAATATGTAAAATCCTGTGAAACCTGCTTTGTTTAGAATGCTCTCAATTAAATGATAAGGGTCCAAGCAAGAAGTGAGTTTGTTCCTCAAAAGCTTTATAGC